TTTAGTGGAATAATTTTCTTAGCACAATAGCAAATTAGAAAAACGAAGCTATTGACAAAAAAAACACTTTATACAAAAGCATTTCTGCCATAATATGATGTTAATGGACACATTTCTGCCATAAACTTGGCCAAATCCGAAACAATCATCCAAAATGTTGAAAATCTGAATTTGTTTTAAAACTCAGAAACTAGAAATCAAAAAATCAAAACAGAAGCCCGAAAATTGGAAAATTCAATTCAAAATCCAAAACAACAGAGGAAAATCGAAGAGGAAGAGGAAGAAGAAGAAAATTCAAAATCCAAAAAAACAGAGGAAAATCGAAGAGGAAGAGGAAGAGGAAGAAGAGGAAGAAGGAGAAGAGGAAGAAGGAGAAGAAGAACCTTAATGGCAGCGGCGAAATCGATGGCGTGAGAGGAAAGCGGTCGATCTTGTGCACAGGGCGAAGTCGACGGAGGCGGCGACGATGGCTTGGATGAAGCCGATGATGATGCGCAAGGACCCAAGAAAGAGAGAGAGGGATGTGCGCAGGAGAGAAGGGGAAGCGGTTGGGGAGATGTGCGTAAAGGGATAGAGGGTAATAATGGAATGAAATATGCGGATGTTTTAAAATAGGAGTAAATCGATCCTATTTGGGGAAAAAAACATACATGGTCTTATTTGAGAATTTCTCTTCTTTTTTAGTCCTATATAGGACAATTACTTTAATATTTTATCAATAGGTTATGTATTTCAGTACTAGGTACTACCTCCGTTCCCATTTTAACTTCCAAATGTGTTTGACACAAAGTTTAAGATAGTGGATATTGTGTGGTGGAGAGTTGTGCAGAGGAGAGAGAAATGTGTAAGAAATATTGTGAACCACAAATTCTTTACCAAAAAGGGAAAGTAGAAGTTTTAATTGGAACGGATGAAAAAGGAAAGTTGGAAGTTTATTTAGGAACGGAGGGAGTAATATTTAAGGAAGGATCTATTTAAAAATCTGAAATTATTTCTTGATTTTTAAAAAATGTGAACCCAAAAAATAACAAAGTACATCGATTAAAAGTATCAATATACTTAATCAATGTGACGAGTTTTAAAAACAATTGACCCATTCAGCATTATTAACTTGAAAGTAATTACAAATACAGTTTACAGTATCACGTGTTTAATAATAAGTGACCCATTAAGTCATATGAACTCAAAATTAAACAAAGTTCATAACATATTAAAATTACATTTGAAACATATGGGTAATAAAAGTGTTACAACATTAAAACAAACTACAAAGAAAAGAAATAATACACCATAAGAGAGTACAAATGTGAATCAATCATGTTGTGCTCTGCGTCTTGGACGCATATCCATCTCATTTGGAAATCTTGTTTCTTGACGGCGTCCTACTCGAGAAGTTCTGGAAGAGTATTTAGGCGGCAGAAGAATGAACTCATTTTGTGGCCACTCATTCAGATTCGGCAATGGCATGATATCACTGGAATGTGCATTTATGTAAGAACTTAGTTTGTATACCTCTGGAATAAGATGATCAACAGGGCACTTAAGAAAATGGTAGACAGCATGCGCATGGACGCATGGCATGCCGTTCATCCTCCAACAACCGCACTCACAGACAAGTCTCAATAGATTCATCGTAACAGGTGTTGCATTATCCACTGCGACTGAGTAAATTCCTGTGTAGTGGTTGTGTGGAAGAACCATAGTGTGAGGTCTTTGGTGCCAACGCTCCATAATCTCTTTCCGAATGTTGTCCGGAAAATGATATCCAGCTTGCTGCCACATCATACCAGCACTACGACGTTGGGCGGAGAGCTGGACTAGTTTGTCAAAAGTTGCTCGTACAAGGGTAGTGATTGGCAATGTCCTACATCCTTTGAGAGCATTGTTGAAACTTTCCGAAAGATTTATTGTCAAAATACCATAACGACAACCACCATCAAAACAAAGTGCCCACTTTTCTTGGGGAATGTCATTTAAATACTTGAATGCTCTCTCGTTAGTACCCCTAATTTGTTGCATTAAATGGTTAAACTCACTTACAATCGGGGTACTTCCCGCTCGCCAACACAACTTCTTTAGTTGTTTACTTCTAAATTGGGACATGAAGTTGCTTCTAATGTGGCGAAGACAGTAACGTCTCTGAAATCGAGGTGTTCCCAATTCTTCCACATTCCGAAATGCATAATTTATAGCCGCATGCCTATCCGAGATGATGCAAACATTCCGATGCGGCCGTATGATGTGTGTCACAAGCAACTGTAAGAACCACGTCCAACTAGCACCATTCTCACTATCTACCACTCCAAATGCTAGAGGGTAGATTAAAAGTTCTACAATTATTACTACTAATGGATATGAAGTAAGTAAATATGAAAAAGTTCTACAATTATTACTACTAATGGAATAATAAGAACAGATAATATTAAACTTCTTTTTGTAATAATAATAATAATAATAATAATAATAATAATAATAATAATAATAAACTCTAACCTTTGAACAAGAAGCCTTGTTTGTTTTGTTGGTGTGAAAGTGTGGGAGGAGGATAGGAGATGTTGGTGGGTGTGAAAGTGTGGAGGAGGAGTAGTATTTATGCTGAAAATATTATCACGGTAGAATCCGACGGACCAATGAAAACGTTGGGAAATCCTATCTTCTGCATTCGGAGTTGTCAGCTCCGAAAATGGCTGACATTTTCTGACGACAACGCTTTCGGAGTTGTCAGATCCGAAAAGATTTAAAGCTGTGTCGACCACTTCAAATTCGAAGTACTGAACTCCGTTTTACTCTTTTTCGTCAAAAAAAATACATCAACGCGATTCGGAAACACCTGCCCAAATTCTACTCTGTTCCGTCATTTACTCTGTTACCGGCTTTCCCCTTCTTCTTGTCAGGATTTCCTGCCGCAGACGGGAGGTGGGGTTGGTTTTCCCACTTCTCCTCACACTTCTCCGCTTAGTAAGGATTACACCCCATAAAAAAAGGATGACGATCTCTAAGGGCCCCCCAACCCCGATCAGATAGTAAAGGATTACACCCCATCATTTAGGTCTCCTAGCACCAGGTGTATAGTTAAATGAGCGGATGTAAATGGGACTTTAATCATAATGTGACAGATAAGGAGTGAGGTTTTGGTCCAGGTACGTACTTGCAAAGGCCTTATGCATTTTTACACAACAGTATACTATGCAATGCATCGAAATAGGAGTGTATATATATATATATATATATATATATATATATATATATATATTCATTGATATATAGTAATCCAACGGCTGGAAACCATATAAAGTGTACGTTCCATATTGCTACTTACATGGAAAGTATTTAATGTTAATAATTGCACACTGGGTGATCATATCAAGGAGGGGTGTTCTGGTATATTCATGTGGAAGCATTTGGCTTAATAGTGTACGTGAATGTATACTAAATATGGTAGAAGCCAAAATTTTCTCCATTACTAATTACTCCATAATAAAGCTCTACAATTCTCAGCCATCCTCGCATTTGTAGAACTAGCGCGCATAACATTCACATTAGCTCACGAAGTGCACCTACTTTATAGTATTAGTGCATTATATTTAATCTATGAGTTTAATTAATTAAATTAGTGATTTTTTTTGTGTGCATCGAATATAGCAAAGTTTCAATAATCAATATCTGGAAATTATATCTTACATTTTGATACAATGACATGTATGTAATTAAATTAAAATGATGGACAAAAGTGTAACTTCTTGTATAAATGACCATAGAGTGACTATGATCATAGTAAACATAGTCATATTTTTATCAAATTTATAAGAGTAATATTTTAGGAAAAGTTTCTAACTTTTGTAGTGGAACATTATCATAACGTCAAATTTTTGCAAAAGTGCAATCATTAGTTAGTAGAAGTGCAATTTTTCATACAAAATATTATCTTTATTAGGATAAAACTATGTTATAGTGCACTTATTAGTTAGTAGAAGTGCACCCATTATAATAATTATAATATCATGATAAGTGATAAGTTTATGCAAAAGTGCACTCCTTAGTTACTAAAAGTGATGTTGTTGAAGTAGAATAGAATAGTACACAGAGACAACATTATGTAAATTGCACCTATTAATTTACAAAAATGTACTTTTATAAAATTATGTAAAAAGTGCACCTGTTAATTAGCAGAAGTGTACTACAAAATTATGTAAAAGTGCACCACTTAATTAGCACCTATAAAATATGTAATGCAAATATTGTATATTAAAAATACAAAATTAGAATAATCAAAGTATCATATACACATTCATTATATTCACGTTATATGCAAAAGTAAGATAACAAAGTGCATATATTATATATAGTTAGATTGGTTAAATTCTATAGCCTAAATAAAGAAGAAAAAAAAAAGAAAAAAAGTATGCAAAATGTTGAAAATTTGATTTTATTTATATTAAAATATGCAACACCTAATACGTAGATATGAAAAAAAGTAAGGCATGCATATCTGAAAAAGTAAAGAAAATTATTGTAACTGCTAATTAGCTACTTGAACGGATTACTAAGTAATTAATGCAATGAAAGAGAAATGAAAATATCAAATTTACCCCTTTAGAAAGAAAAACGAAAAATAAAAATTAAAGTCAATCCAAATCCAAAAGTTATGGTTCATTCTCATTTCTCTCTCTAGATGGTATTCTTACTTCATCCTATATATATATAACATTTTTGCTCCATTTACCACACCTGCTACGCATGGTCTTAGCGGATACACATGAGGGCCCGCTTATTTATTTTCAAACAGAACTTTAAAAAATATTTGACAAATTATTGTGCTTTAAGTAAAAGTTTTCAATTTTAATTTAAGTCACAGTGTGAAATTTGAATTCATTAATTAAACAATTTAAACTATAATTTCATTTTTGTGAAAGACGTGTTTAGTTTTCCCACTTTACCCTATAATAATTATATTTAAATTTCACTATTTAATTTTGAATAGTACATAAAAAATGTTAGTGACCTATTACAACATATGCAAAGATGATGTGTTCACGTTTTGGGCATAAGACTCCATTCATTGGATTGAAATTTTCTGATCTATCTTTTTTTCTATAAAGTGGTCAAGTCTGATGAACTCGATCTAGGGCTCAAATAGGTAAGTGTTATAGTACCTCACTGATAAATGAGGGTAGCGTATCTAGAATACATTTGATTGATCCATATTGAGATGGTACTTTTTTAAACCGATTCAACAAGCAATGTGGATCACAAAGAATTGTTAAACACCTTACATTATTATAATTCGTATGTACTTACCAATTACCATGTATGACTATGGTGCATAGTACGTATATATTAGTATGTAGGCATGTTTAGCCCACCCATATATATAGAGAGCCATTTTATTTATTTATACCCGGATATTGATGAATACAGTCAGCCCACGGACTGCCCGGCACCGGCGACTTTATGGTCCTATTACACTTCCAAATAGCACTGTTGCACTTAAACCCACTCCCAAACCCAATCTGCCACACTCTGTCCCCTTTCTTCATTTTCCCTTTCGCCTCAATGTAACTTAACTCGTACCACAGTGAAGAAGATGATGTGTTCCCGAACCGGTGAAGCGTCATTCTCGATGGCTCCACGTTCTCGTCGGAGAGGTCTAGTTTCTTCTGCACGCTATCTATGACAGCCCGCCCGCCCGCGTGGATGCAGAAGTGGTCTACTGCCCGTTTGTAGTTGGGGACGAAGGCGGGTTTCTTGAAGAGCTTGGTTGCCATGAGGCCAAAGAAGTAGCGTATTTTCTCAGACATGGGTAGAAGAAGAGGGCTTGCGGCGGTTATGTTGGTTTTCATGGCCTTCGCAGCAACATCCGGCAAGTTCCTACTCAGGTTTATCCCTACAAAACCTTCTGGGTCCTCCTCCTGGACTATGCATTTGTAGGCATCATCTGTTTGCCCCGTGTGAGTTCTCACAACGTGGAGGAGCTTATACTTGGCCAGGCTTCGATCTGTCCAGTGGTTCGACAACAGAACTGCTGCTCCTCCCATTCTGAACAGACAGTTTGGGAGAAGCATGGATCTTTCTTTCCCCACGTATGAACATTGTGTTACGATCTCCGTGCTTATAACAATCGCTTTTGAGTTTGGGTATGTCAAAAGCAAATCCCGAGCCAAATCGAGGGATATGAGGCCCGCACTACAACCCATCCCGGAGAGATTGAAGGTCTTGATGTCATTCTTGAGCTTGTACTTGTTAACCACCATGGAAGAGAGAGAAGGAGTGGGAGAGAAAACTCCACAGTTAACTATAAGCATATCAATGTCGTTAACATCCGTGCCTGTCTTAGCCAGAAGATTGTCCATGACCGAGAAGATGACCAACTGAGCTTCTTCCATGGGCAACTTCATGGTCATGGCATTAATAGGGATGTAATGTAGGGGGAGCGGAAGGCAAGTCCGTTCTCCGATCCCAGAACGTTCCATGATTTGTTTCTGAAAGGCGACACTCTTAGGATTGTTGGAAAAGATGATATGGGCATGCTCCATGAAGGTGGCTAAGGGGACTCGGTAACTATCCGGAGGTTTGAAGCAAGAAAACTCAACGAGATAGACAGAAGGGGTTCTAGTGAGTAGGTGGTAGCAAGATAGTATGAATAGTATTGTGGAGATGATTGGGAGTTGAAGAGAAGTACCAGTTGTGGTGCCAAGAATGAAAGCGAGCAAGAAGCTCATAAGGCCATAGGAAATGACTCTATTCATAGTGTTGAAAACTAAAAGTCAAAATGTTTTAGATTGTATGTTTTCCGGCTGGGTTAACTTAGCTTGTTATCACCTTAGTTGTAATTAGTGTATCTTGTGGAAAGACTTAGGAGCACTATGGTTTTATAAGGAAAGAAAACTAATACTAATGCATGTACGTATTGTCTTTCTACAAGTGAATGTTGATGGATCTTTTGGGATTTTGGTACTAAGACTTGGATGTTGTTGTATACATTTTTACGAGCTCTAAAAATACTTTAAGTTTATGGAATTTGAGGTCATTAGGACAAAATTTGGTCCACCTAGTAACATAGCCACAATCGCATAGTAACTTAGCAGTTTGAAATTTGTAATATTACATGCGTTGATTATAATTAAACTAAACGTTAATCACTTCTCAATTACATGTTATCATATACTCCCTCCGTCCCACAATTAAGTTACCACTTTCTTTTTTGGGCAGTCACTAAATTAAATTCACATTTCCTTACTTTCCTTATTTGGCAAATTATCTACATCAAAACAGTGTCAAACAGTGTCAAACGGTGTCAAACAGTGTTTGAACAGTGCAAAACAGTGCACTCCACAGTAAAGTCAAATTTATTTTCTTAATACGTGTGAAGTCGAACCGGGAACTTAATTGGGGGGACGGAGGGAGTAACTAATAAGTTTGTTCAAATTAAAAACATTTTCTTTTAATCTAATGAACACTTTAATGATCATGTCCCACATGGAGTTATCAATTGGTACAAGTCGATCTTTACCTTCACGAGTACTTGACTTGTGGCGTATAATACAAATATGAGATATGCACTTTTTAACAACTTTATGTTTCAATAAACAGGAATTATCACGAATATATGGATAATATATATGCACTAAATAATTTGTCGAGTTCAACTATACATGTGCTAAAACTTTAAAATAGTTTATCATTTAGGGGTCGGGTCGAATTAACCAAACTCGAGCATTTATACAAACGTGTAATTATATATGGTGACAACTATGGTACCCATTTAAAAATGGGGTACCATACTTACCACTCTTTTGATTGGTTCAAATCATTATCTTATTTTTAATTTAGATTTAAATAATTTAACTACATCATTCTGATTGGTCCATATGGACAAAGGTATGATACCTTAAGGGTACCATATAATCTACCATTATATATATCTTGGACCACCCGATGGCATTGTTTAGTTTTAGTTATATTTGTGGACAACCGTAAAAGAATGATTGATAACCTATTGTTCAAATCAAATAATTTTATATCCTTCACCCAACTCCTCTAATGTAGCCTAATGTAGGAGTATTTCCTACCACATACGATAGTATAAGCTATGTTTGACAGACATAAGTCTCTGCCTTTTAGCTTTTGTACTATTCAAAAAATCGTTGTATGTTTGACATGACAATTTTTAAGAGCTTTTCAAAAATTAAAAGATCTTTTTTGAGATGCAACAAGGAGTAGCATCTGAGAAAAGTCCATGACTTTTAGTATTAATTAATCCTAACAGCTCTTATACCAAACCGAACTAAATCAAACAGTCACTTTTTTATCAAACAGCTATCACCTTTTTTTAAGATCTTTTCAGTCAATAAAAGCTACTCCCTCCGATTCTTATTAAAGTTCCCACTTTCCTTTTTGGGATGTCCCTTATTTAAGTTCACACTTCCATTTTAGGAAACAAAATAGTGCAAAACAGTGCCAAACAGTGTCAAACAGTGCCAAACAGTGCACTCCACAGTAAAGTCAAATTCATTTTCTTAATATGTGTGAAGTCAAACTAAGAACTTAAATAAGAACCGGAGGAAGTAATATTTATTAAAAAACTTACAAAAGTATCTTTTCAGCTATTTGTGACAAACATACCCATAATTGCCCGTAGGAAGAAGTTGTGTAGACGTGATTGTTTATCTTTGTAGAAGGAAGTTGCATGTTTTTCGTGTTGCATGTCATTTTCGAATGTCTTTGTTGAAGAAATGAAGAGTAATTTAAGCTATGTCGTTACGTTTTTTAAGGGTTCCTCCCTTTAAATCTGACACATTGTCGTGCTGACTTCCATATATATTAACACCATGGTAGATTCTATGGTACCCATAAGATACCATACCTTTGTCCACATGGATCAATGAGAATGTAGCAGTTGAATTATTTAAATCTAAATTAAAAATGATAAAATGGTGTGATCCAATCAAATTAATGGTAGGTACGGTACCCCATTTTTAAGAAAGGTACCGGAGTTGTCACCTAACACCATATATCGCATTTGGCCTTTTTATCCATTAGCTTTTCGTTTGAAATTAGCAGGCTCTTAAGTTTATGTCTCCAAGAATTCTCATACAAGTCTATGAGTATATGTCATGTCTTTTGTGTGAAAGTAGCATGAATAAGATTAGGCAATTGTGGAATGGGAGGATAACCTAACTCTCACGCATTTCTCATATAACTCAAAATTAAAACTCATGTTGAAATCCATTTTACAACCCCAATGGGTAAACCACCAAATAGGTGGTCCAAAACATTACTCCCCTATCCTAAGAAAGTATGTTATTAATTGTACTTAATGTGCTTATTTTATTAATAAGGTCAGAATAAAGTGAGCATGTATGATTATGATCGAGTTAGAAAAAGATAAATGAGTATAGCTAAATCATTCAATAAAATGAAATGGGATGAATTTTTTTGGTATAACTCCAAAAGGAAAGTGAGAAAATCTTTTGGAACGAAGACTAGTATTGAAACTTAAAAAAAACTAGGTTAAAAAGGTATTATCTCCTCTCTTTGTAACCTTTGTTTTTCAATATTACCCTCCGTCAAAACACATCTTCTCACCTTCTTTTTTGTGATGCACAAAATCCTCTTCCCATTTCATTTTATGGAATGATTTCACGAATATTCATTTATCTTATTCTCTAACTAAATCACTATCTTACATTCTCACTTTATTCTCATCTAATTATTAAGCTTGTTAATTAAGTCAAATTGGCATTCTTTTGTGTCATAGAGGGAGTAATGTTTTGGTAAGTAATCCACCAAATTTGGTGGTTTACCGACTGGGGTTATAAAAAGGTTATTCTGAATGTGTTGTAATTTTGAGTTTATTTGAGAAATGCATGAGAGTTAGGTTATTCTCCATCCATGATACTCAAGTTTACGGTTTTTATAGTTTCTTATTGTCATTTCACTTCCACATAAGATGATCTCAAATAATCCCTAAACCTATTAATTTTTCCCCATCCATGATCTTAATTTACCTGGATTTTTTGTGAAACATCTATTTAAGTGACATTTCAATTTATTTGAATTTTGGAAGTTGAACTACTCCAATGGAGTAAAAGCAACTACGATGGAGTAATCACCTGTGCTAGAACTATCCGTTGAATTAATTTCCTTCACTCGTGCTATTAATTGATTAACGGATAGTGCTTTTACTTTAATTACAACCGGTAACAAACGGATAGTGCATGTGAGTAATCACCTTAATTATGGAGTATGTCTAGAAAGTTGTGAATAATCTCAAAATAATCCACATTTAGAATTTGATACCAGATTATTTTATAAAATAATCTCATAAATAATCTCAACTCCTCATTCATGATCCCCAAAAAAATCCTTTACATCATCAAAATGATCCCAAAAATAATCTATGGATGGGGATGCCCTAATGGATAAAAAAGACCAAATGTGATATATAGTGTTAGCATGGGAATCAGCGCGACAATGTGTCAGATTTGTAGGGAGTAACCCTTAGCTAGCAGTTGGTATATCGTGGGAGCAGCCCACGGTGAGCATGCTGCTCCCATATAAATGAAGGTGTGTTACTGTTCAAGCGCGTGAACAATAACTTCATTTTTGTTTTCTTTATTGTCCCAGTAGTAGTATGATGTAACTTACGTGTAAAGAAATGTAACTTACTCTATAGAAAATGTAATTGCAAGCAAGTCGAAATGTAACTTGTCTAATACGGATTGTAAGATATAAAACATTGACTTTAATGAAAACAAGGAATCTAATTGCTTAATTACTTTACATAGATAGTGAATATGTTTTGTTTTTAATATAAAGGCCATAAAAATGTTTTTTTTTTTTGCCAAAATATCCATTTTTCGCCAATAATTTCAATTTATTTTTGCAAAAATGTGATTTTTTGTTTCGATAGCAGAGATTAACTGAAATAGTGAATATATAATTTTTTTAACATTAAGGTTGTAAAAATGTTTTTAAAATCACCTTTTTTGCTAAAAAAAATCATGTTTTGCCAAATAGATATTTTTTTTGCAAAACAATGATTCTTTTGTTTCAAGAGTAGGGTTTATGTTGTGATGTAATTCGTGTTATGGAAAATGTAACTCGCGTTGATGGAATATCTAACTTAGATGTGTGCAAAATGTAACATACGTGTGTTGAAGCATACCCAAAAATAACTAACGCATAAAAAGATGTAACACACGTATAATAAAGATGTAACTCGCGCATAAAAAGATGTAACTACATTTACTATCAGATGTAAACAATGAAAATAAAGAGTCTAATTGATCAATTACTTTACTTAAATAGTGAATATGCTTTGCTTTTAATATTTAAGGCCATAAAAATTGTTGTTCAAAAAGTTATGTTTCTTTTCCAAAAAAATATTTTTTTTTTACCAAAAAATCATTTTTTATGCAAATAAATGATTTTTTTGTTTCAAGAGTAGGAGTTTATTATGTAATGTAACTCGCACTATGGAAAATGTAACTCACATTGATGGAAATTCTAACTTAGGTGTATGCAAAATGTAATATATGGATGCAAGTCTAAATGTAACTCGCACGTAGAAAGATGTAACTCACCCACTAGAAGATGTAATTTCATATATTATCAAATGTAACTCCATAAATTGTCTATAAACACAAGTCACACATGTGGAAATATAAATCACACAAGTGTATAAAATATAAAATTATTTATTTTAAAGAGAAAAAAATATTTTTTTATTGTAATTTTGGTTGAAGCAAAAAAAAAGTGTATGAATAAGAACTAAGAGAGAAAGAAAACATAATTAATTTATTTTGAAAGAATGAAAATTTGATCACAAAATTGTAATATATA